AATTCTCCTGCCTCAGCCTCCTGAGTAGCTGGGACTGCAGGCACACGCCACCACACCCAGCTAATTTTTGTTTTTTTTTTTTAGTAGAGGTGGGGTTTTATCATGTTGGCCAGGATGGTCTCGATCTTTTGACCTCGTGAACCGCCCAACTAAGCCTCCCAAAGTGCTGGGATTAGAGAGAGGCGTGAACCACCACGCCCGGCAATTCATATTTCTTTATTCTTTTCTCTTTCTGTCTTAGACTAGATAATCTTGGGCGACCTATTTTTAAGTTTGCTGGTTCTTTGTCCCACTTGCTCAAATCTACTGTTGAACCCCTCGGGTAAATTTTTTATTTTCATTTATTGTACTGTTGATGAAAAGATTAAAAGTCTGTAAAACATTTGAAGAGATTTATTCTGAGCCACATAATGAGTGACCATGGCCTGTGACACAGCCCTCAGGAGATCCTGAGAATACGTGCCCCAGGTTATGGGGGCACAGCTTGGTTTTGTACATTTTAAGGAGACATGAGACATCAAATACATTTAAGATACACATTGGTTCAGTCCAGAAAGGTGGGATAACTCGAAGCGGGGGCTTCCAGGTTATAGGTAGATTTAAATTTTTTCTTATTGGCAGTTGGTTGAAAGAGTTATTATCAATAAAGATAAATGTCTGGATTATGATAGGAGGTTTTGGAGACCAACGTTTCTTCATGCAGATGAAGCCTCCAGGTAGCAGGCTTCAGAGAATAGATGTAAGTGTTTCTTATCAGGCTTAAGGTCTGTGTTGATGTTAATGCTGTAGGAGTACAGTGAGGCATGTCGACCCCCCACTTGCTATCATAACCTAAACCAGTCTTTTCAGGTTAAATGTTAGAGTGCCCTGGCCAAGGAGGAAGTCCATTCAGGTGGTTGGAGGACCTTATAATTTTATTTTTGGTTTGCAGTACTTTCATCCCCAGAATTCCCATTTAATTTCTTTGTTGATAGTCTCAATTTGGTGGGACATTATTCTCACACTTTCCTTTAGTTCTTTAGACATAGACATCTTTTAGGTCTTTGAATGTATTCAAAGATGTGAATTTAAAGTCTTTATCTAGTAAGTACAATGTTTAGGCTTCCTCAAGGACAGTTTAATGATTTTTGTTGAAAACTGGACATTTTAAATAGGGTAACAGCTCAGGAAATCAAATACTCCTCCCAGGGTTTGTTGTATTGCTGCTCCTTTTGCTTGTTTAGTGATATTTCCAAACTAATTCTTTTCTTTTTTTGAGACAGAGTATCGCTCTTTTGTGCAGGCTGGAGTACAGTGGCATAATCTTGGCTCACTGCAACCTCCACCTCCCAGGTTCAAGCGACTCTTCTGCCTCAGCCCCCCAAGTAGCTGAGACCACAGGCATGTGCCACCATGCCCAGCTAATTTTTGTATTTTTAGTAGAGACGGGGGTTTCACCATGTTGGCCAGGCTGGTCTCGAACTCCTAACCTCAGGTGATCTGCCCTCCTTGGCCTCCCAAAGTGCTGGGATTACAGGCATGAGCCACTGTGCCCGGCCTCCAAACTAATTCTTTATAAAGTCTGTATTCTTGTACATGCCCACTGAAGTCTCTGATTGGTTAGTTTTGTGGTCAGCTGATAATTAGACAAAGACTTAAATGCTTGGAACTAGTAAATTTCCCATTTTTTGCCAAGCGGCTCTGTGTGCATGTTGCGGCATACCTCCAGGCAGTTTACAACTACCCAAAAGCCTTCACTTCCTGCTTGCACAGAGCCTCAAGGTTAGCCAGAGTTGTAAGCTAGGGTCTTTTCCAGGTGTTTCCTGGATGTGTCCATAGCTCATGTATGTGACCTTCTAGAGTCCCAGTAATACCTCATGGCTTTTCAAAGCTCCAATCCCATGGTCATCTCATTCTTTAGCTTTTCCTTGTCAGCTTTTTGGTTACCCTGTTGTTTTCCTCAACTGTTATCCACTGTCTTGGGCAGCTGCTATGCTAAATTATTGCCTCTTGATTATTTCCAACAAGCACTTCTGCGGAAATGGCTTTTCACACTGGGTGAGCACCAAGTTAGGTCAAATGAAGACAGCCTTGCAAGTGGGGTCTTCCAGGAAACCACCTGACAGGTCAAATAATGACATTTTCCTGGAATGGGGTTTTAGAAGAATCTCCAGCCCCTTCTCCCTGCTCCAGTGGCTTCCAGGCTGCTGATTTTCACAGTAATTGTGAGGTGTTAGTTTTCAATTTAAAACTGGCACAAAACTTGCTGCTTACTGAAATCCAGCCATTTTTCCTGAATAACTGCTCCCTGGTTGCTACATTCCTTTGGTAGATTTCCAGAATGTTGAAGAAGTTGTTTCTGGTTATTTGTCCAGTGTTCTTGTTGCTTTTATGGAGGAAAAGATTTTCCAAAGGCCTTGCTCCAGCATTTTCACTGACATTGTTTTGATATGAAGAATTTAACCCATAGTCAAATACTAGAAATTGAAAAAGATTTTCTTATGATATAGATTAATTTTTTCTAAAGCATCATTTCTTCTATCCCCTTTTTTATGGTATTTCATGGTATGAATATACTATAGGATGCTTAACTCTTTCATAGTTAATGGGCTTTTGTTAGCTTGTAATAGCCAAGGGAACTAGAAACAACGTTACAACTAAATTTTTGTATATGCCTCTGTATGCCATTAAGAATGTTTTTCTAGAATGGCTACCTGGAAGTCAGATTGCTTGATGAATAATATGTGCATTAAAAAAATTTAAGAATACTTTAAAACTGTCTTCCAAAGGCCTAAACTGGTTTATATTTCCAGCAGTGGTTTGTGAGAATATCTCTTTTCCACACCCTGACCAATACTGGACATCAGTCTTACAAAGTTTTGAAAGCCTGGGCAAAAATAATATGTCATTGATTTTTCAAATTTGCATTTAAATTATATTTTGAAGAACAATGTCATTGCTACCCCAGTAAGTAATAATTTTTAATCCTTTTATTTCTCCTCTTTAGGGAATGGCATTTACTTTACAAGAACGACAAATGCTTGGTCTTCAAGGACTTCTACCTCCCAAAATAGAGACACAAGATATTCAAGCCTTACGATTCCATAGAAACTTAAAGAAAATGACTAGCCCTTTGGAAAAGTAAGAATTGGTTAGATGTTTCATTTTTTTATTGGTATTCTGATTAGAAAACTTGTGAGCATTATGGTTCTTATGGCATGAGAAATATACAATCTCATATAAGTTTGTGTTTTGTCAGTTAACTACTTTTATAATGATTGTGTTTTACTTCAGTGAATACTTCACAAGTATTCACTGTTGTAAAACTTAACAAATTAGTTTTTATGCTTACAGTCAGAGCAATTCAGATTTCAGTGGAATATTAGAAGCAAAGGATACCATCTAATTTGCAATCATTTTATTCAACAACTTTTATTGATCACCTACTTTGTGTTGACACTGTACCAGCCACTGAGGCTATAAAGTGGGTAATAGATAGGGTGACCATATGCTATATCACCTAATCCAGGATACTTTGGAGAATAAAAAAGAGGTGTACCTAAAGCTATCCCTGGCAAACTTTTTTTTTTCTTTTTTTTGGACGGAATCTCGCTCTGTTGCCCAGGCTGGAATGCAGTGGCGCGATCTCAGCTTACTGCAGTCTCTGCCTCCCATGTTCAAGCAGTTCTCCTGCCTCAGCCTCCTGAGTAGTTGGAATTACAGGCACCCATCACCATGCCTGGCTCATTTTTATATTTTTAGTAGAGATGGAGCTTCACCATGTTGGCCAGGCTAGTGTCGAACTCCTGACCTCAGGTGATTTGCCCACCTCGGCCTCCCAAAGTGCTGGGATTACAGGCGTGAGCCACCGCGCCTGGCCTTTTTCTTTTTCTTTCTTTCTTTCTTTCTTTTTTTTTTTTGATACAGGGTCTCACTCTGTTGCCCAGGCTGGAGTGCAGTGGCACAGTTTTGGCTCACTGTAACCTCCACCTCCCAGGCTCAAGCAATTCGCCCACCTCAGCCTCCCAAGTAGCTGGGATTACAGGAGTGCACCACCATACCCGGCTAGTTTTTGTAGTTTTTAGTAGAGACAGGGTTTCACCGTGTTGCCCGGGCTGGTCTCGAACTCCTGGACTCAAGCAGTTTACTCGCCTTGGCCTCCCAAAGTGCTGGGGTTACAGGCTTGAGCCACTGCACCAGGCAGCAAACTTAATATATATGACCAACCCAGTAACTCACAGCCCTGTCTTCTAAAAGGTCATCAACAGATAGTTATGCTATGATTGTTATTGGTCTCTAGACCACAATGTACAGTATAATGAGAAAAAGGTACATGCAGATATATTCTGAGAGCCTGCAGAGGGCATCTAGCTCAACTTGGGAGAATCAGATAAAAGCTTCCTGAAGGGAATGATGCCTAAGCTGAATTGTAAATGGTATGTTACAGGTAGCAGGCCAAGTATTCTGGGTAGAGGGATAAGTCTGCATGTAGAACTAAGCGTATCAATTGAGTTTGTTAAGTATAGGAGATTATTGGTCACTGGTAAGAGTGGTTTCTTTGGTGTGATGGAGCAAAAGAGATACTGTGATAGACTGAAAAATGAATGGAAGGGGAGGAAATGTAAACTACCCTCTCAAGAAGTTCAGATAAGGAGGGAAGGAAGACATTGAATAATAAGTAAAGCAAGACTTGAGATTAAGTATGTTTCAAGTTTAATGTTTCATCGTAGTTATGAGGAATGAGCCCAGGAGAAAGGATAATTGATAGAGCAGGGTCTCAGGGAAAGGAAGAAGGCATAGGGTCAAATGCAGAGATAGAGTGGCTGGCCTTGAGCAGGAACAAAGAACAGCTCATTCTCCAAAGCTGGAGGAAAGATAAATACAGATATTAGTAAGGATAAGTATGGAGATGATTGAGCAGAAGTAATGAACTCTCAGTTTAGCTGATGACCTTGCTTTCCTTTATGACATAGAATATGACAGTCATCACTCAAATGTAGAAGGGCCAAGGTTGAGTAGAGTTGGTGAAGAGAGTGATAAATGCTTGGAAGAGCCACGTAGCTATAAGATAAAGCTGAACAAAAGCCAGGCTTGGTGGCTCATGCCTGTAATCCCAGCACTTTGGGAGGTCAAGGTGGGAGGATCACTTGAGCCCAAGAGTTCCAGACCAGCCTGGGCAACACAGTGGGACCCTGTTTCTACAAAATTAAAAAAAAAAAAAAATTAACCAGGCATGCTGTTACACACCTATAGTTCCAGCAACTCAGAAGACTGAGGCAGGAGGATAACTTAAGCCCAGGAGGTCAAGGCTTCAGTGAGCCATGATTGCACCACTGCACTCCAGCCTGGGTGATAGAGTGAGAGCCTGTCTCAAAAAAAAAAAGAAAAGAAAAAAGCCGAACAAGAGCAGGTTAAAGGGATGAGAGCAGACCCTGATGGCCTGGTGGCAAGATCTTATTTATATTGGTGCCATTCTGCACAGCAATGTTATTTTTCCACAGAAAAGATGAAATGTAACATTCATTCAGGCTTGGAGTTTGCTGGGCTGGCAAAGGTTACATCAATTCATTCAGTTAATATTCAGGACTGCTATGTGCCTGGCACTGTTCTAAGTTTTGGAACTCCAAAAATGAAAACACTCAGCCCTTCTCTTCAGAGAGTTCACTGTCTCTGGTGGAAAGGCAGACACTGTGGAAGGGGAGTACAGTGAAAAATCATGTGGGGATTCCTAAACAGGAATGACAGGGAGATATTTGCTCAGAGTGAGAGATTTGATCCTGGGATTCAGAGGAGGAAACAAAGAGAATCCCCAAGGGAGCCCATAGAATTGGGAGAGAATGAAGCAGTCAGAGCTAGAGATCCCTCTGAAGGATGACGAAGTGAGGGCATCATATGGTTACCCAAAGTGGTAGAGGATTGTGATCCGAGAGTGGATAAGGGCATTCACCATTACTGAGCTATAGCGATCCTAGGTGAGTGCTGCCCATCACTGAGGTACACAGAAGAGTGACTAAAGTGAAATAAAGAAAATGGTAATGTTGAAGAGATCTATGACTTGCACAGCTTCCCTCTATCACATGCCTCGTAGGTCATCTGTTCTTTACTTAACATTACTTCCATCTCACAAAGCCATCCATTCCATTTTAGCAGCCCAGTTTGTTTACTTCCCTATACTGCAGAGAAATCTTCTTCCCTTTAATTTCTATCTATTGATACCATTTCTTCCGCTATTAGCTATGTAGAAAATATAATTGAAGGGATCACTTCTCCCCATTTATTCACCAAATATTTGCACACCAGTTGTATGCCACATATTGCTATTAATAGTTCCTGAACCTATAGAAGTATATGAGGTGATCGTTTCTAACTTACGGTATTGTCTAGACTGGAGGAATCCAGAAAGTCAAGAAGTGGAGTGAGAGTTACAGAGGGAAGTAGCGTATCATGGGACCTGAAAACAGGAAAGTCTAAAACATGTATGTATACATGATAGGGGAGGGGAGTGGATAGAAAAGGGCCCCCAGAGAGCACGCCACCTGAGCTGCATTTGGAGCGCACGTGTATAGGACTATGCCTGGAGAGAGAGTGCAGGCAAAGGGTGCATCAAACGCAGCAAGTCCAGGTTGAGTTGTGATCCTTTTGAGGAGCTAAGTAAGTCAGCATGAAGAAGATGAGGCTGAAAAGTAGGCAGAGGTCTTGTTAACTATTTTAGGAGCTTGAGCCTTATTTTACGACAATTTATTTGGAAGCGAAATGATCACAGTTAGGTTTTTAAGAGAAGAATGAATTGGAGCATAGGAGGAAAATTGTATTTATAAAGACTGGTAACAAGGCTTTTGAGGTAGCCCAGCTGAGAAATGGTGGTAGCTTGTACTGTGTGAGGGTGGAAGGAGCAAATGGATATATTTGAAAGCTATTTAGCAGGTAGACTCTGTAGGACTTGGTGATTTATAGGATTGGTGTTGGGGAGGGTAGGAGAGGAAGAAATCAAGAATGGAATCTGGGTTTCGCATTTGGTCATATGATAGCAGAAGAAACAAGGTCAGGGAAAGATAAGTCTGCTTTAGACATATTTAATTCAAGATGATTACTGACTTTCAAGCTTTCAAGCCGATAGTTCCCTGTTCTCTAAATTTAAAAAGAAGTTATTTATATATTTATTGACATCAATTGACAATTGCCTTTTTTGTGCTGCTTCTGCACTCTGTGTAGACCTTATAATGCTTCTAACCCTCCTGGGTTATAAACTCCTTGAAAACAGGGGTCACTTCTTATATCTCTGGAAAATAGTGCCAAGCAGATAGTGTTAAGCAAATGTTTGAATTAATGCCACTTTATTTTGCTTCCTTGTTTATATGTCAGTGTCCTTGAAGAATGATTCTTTAAGGGTAGGGACCTCATAGTGATCTTTGCATTTCCAGTGCCTTCTACAGAGCCTGACCCACACTAAGGGTTCAGTAAACATTGTTTCTATTGTTACTTCATCGTCATCATCATCATCTACCATTTAAGTACCCTCATATTTTTGTTAATTTTTAGTCCTGGGTGTTAAATAGTGATAATCTGAGGTTTGGGGTTTTTTTAGAATGTGATGTGAGCAGGGTCAATTTCAATTTTAGGTTTAACTTTCATAAGCCAAGACTTTTAATGTAATGCAGGCTGACTGAGACATTATTTACTGTGCTTAATTTCAGATATATCTACATAATGGGAATACAAGAAAGAAATGAGAAATTGTTTTATAGAATACTGCAAGATGACATTGAGAGTTTAATGCCAATTGTATATACACCAACGGTTGGTCTTGCCTGCTCCCAGTATGGACACATCTTTAGAAGACCTAAGTAAGGCTTATTTAAAAAAGAAAACTTGTAAATGGTTATTGAATAAGGAAAACATCATTCCATAACAGCTATTACGTTTCTATTTTATATATCTTAGCCGAATCACGTTTCCTACCTCACAAAAATGTAATTTTTATTAAAAGTGATTAACAAAAACCCAACATTTTATCTTTGTAAAAATAGCATCATTCATTTCTAATCTTCTTTAAATTATTGTGATTGTTAGAGTAATTATATACTTTTAGAACCTGCCCCCCCACCAAAAAAAGTCTTAATTCTGGTGGAGAGAATCCAGAATTATTAAAATTTTTGTCAATAAAGCCAAATTAAGAGATTTTTTTTCTCATTTTTTGATCGGTTTTAATTTGTTTGTTTTTTGTTTTTGAGAGAGTCTCACTTGGTCACCCAGGCTGGAGTGGAGTGCAGCGGTATGATCTTGGCTCACTGCAACCTCCGCCTCCCAGGTTCAAGTGATTCTCGTACCTCAGCCTCCCTAGTAGGTGGAATTACAGGTGCACACCACCACGCCTGCTAATTTTTGGATTTTTAGTAGAAATGGGATTTCGCCCTGTTGGCTGGGCTGGTCTTGAACTTCTTACATCAGGTGATCAGCCTGCCTCAGCCTCCCAAAGTGCTGGGATTTACAGGCACGAGCCACTGCAGCCTGTTCTCCTTTTTTTTTTTTTTTAATGAATTTTCATTTCAAATAGTTCTAGCACCTACAAACATTGTAAATGGGAAGAGTACTGAAATGGCAAGAACTGACTGTATTCCTTGAATGAGTCACATGATCCCCATGAATGTGTTTCCTTGTGTAAAATGGGAATAGCAGGACCTATCAAAGAGCTATTAGAGAAACCAATGTGACAGTTCTTTGGAAAATTATAAGCTATATATATATATATACACACACACACACGTACATACATGCACACACACACACACGCATGCTGTTTTTACTTAATCTGAGTTTTCTTGTCTTATTCCTCTAATCTATTATTACTTTTCTCAATCCTTATAATATTTTCCCCATGCCCAATTAACACATTCTTCCACGTGTGGAAATTCAAACAATGTATGACAGCTTTTATATTCAGTCTCCTGTCATCTAGTCTAGTGGCTTTCAAACTTTAATGTGTATAAGAAATACCTATGGTACTTACTCAAAATGTTGATCTCTGCCAACTTTCCTCTCCTCCCCATCCCCAAGATTTCTGATGAAAAAGAAAAAAGGTCTGGAGGTCTGGATTTTAGTGAGCACCCTCAGTGATTGTGTTGCAGTTATTCCCTGGAAGACACTGAGAAACAGACTGTTCTAACCTATATGCTGCCAACAATTACTGTAACTAAAACATTTCTGTGACATAACCATGCTGTTCAGCTATTTTATAGTTTCCTTATTAGAATGATTAAAAGATAGAGAGAAACTTGGAAATACTGATGCCTGAGCCCCACCCCCAGAGATTCAGATTCAGTTAGTCTAGACTTAGGAGTTTCACAAAAGAGCCTGGTGTGATTCTGATGTGTACCCAGAGTTGAGAACTGACTTGAAACATGAAGAGCATGGCTTATGTGTGAGGGCAAATACTGTTTATTATTTATGCAATGTATTGTGCTATGGGTTTTTTTTGTTGTTGTTCATTTTGTTTTTGTAGATGGTCATTAAATCTTAGTTGGTTGATTGATCTAAACTTTAAGCCAATTAAATCAGAATCTTTGGAGATGGGACCCTGGCATTTTACAGCGTACCAGATGTTTCCATTATATAGCCATGATTGAGATATTGCTGAACTAAACTGATTTGAACTGTAATAGTGGTGCCAAATTTAAGATACCAATGAGACAGTTAAACATAAGATCAGTTTGACAGCAATGAGGATCCGTTGGCCCTCATGTCTGCCTGAACTGTGTTCTTGAACCTGCATTTCTTCTTTTTTTCCTCCTTCTCTTCCTTCCTTCTTTGCTTTCTCTTTTGAAATCTGGATTGATTATCTGAATTAGGTAACAACATACTGTGTTTAAAATGACTTTTTGTTAGCCATTCCACAATTTATACAGATTTCAAAACATGTTTTACATGATAAATATAGTTGACCCTTGAACAACACAGGTGTGAAGGTCCATTTTTACTCAGGTTTTCTTGTCCTTTTGCCACCCTTGAGACAGCAAGACCAACCCTTCCTCTTCCTCCTCTTTTTGATTTTGTTAATAACATTTTCTTTTTTCTAGATTACTTTATTGTAAGAATACAGTATATAATTCATATGGCATACAAAATAGTGTTAGTTGGCTGGGCACGGTGACTCATTCCTTTAATCCTAGCACTTTGGGAAGCTGAGGTGGGTGGATCACTTGAGGTCAGGAGTTCGAGACCAGCCTGGCCAACCTGGTGAAACCCTGTCTCTACTAAAAATACAAAACTAGCCAGGCGTGGTGGTGGGCATGTAAAATCCCAGCTACTCTGGAGGCTAAGGCAGGAGAATTGCTTGAACCCTCCGTGGGGGGCAGAGGTTGCAGTGAGCCGAGATCATGCCACTTCACTCCAGCCTGGGTGAAAGAGCAAAACTCCAAGTCAAAAAAAAAAAAATTCTTAGTCAACCTATGTGTTACTGGTTAGGCTTCTGGCCAGTGGTAGGCAACATTAGTAGTTAAGTTTTTGGAAAATCATACAATTTTTGTATGTAAATTTTTATCATGTAAATTTTTGACTTGATTTTCTAACACCCACATTGTTCAAGGGTCAACCGTATATCCAATATTTGTCAAAAAAATAATATTAAATAAGTAAAAGTAACTTTTCACTTTTTCCTTATGCTTCAGGTAGCTCATCTTTTGTGTGAATTTATTGTAATTTTCTTCTTTCCCTTCCTGCTCCTTCAAATTTCAAATTTTCAGTTTCAGTAAGTTTTAACAGTAGTTTAGTTGGCCTTGTAATGCTCTCCTGCATTGGTGGCTTGCTTCAGATTTTTTTTGTTTTTTTTCCTGTTGGTGTATTGAGTTTATTTGAACATGAGATGTGGTTATATTTCTTCTTGGGTAAAATGATTGTATCATGTAACAATAATCTTTGTTGCATCTGCTATGAACATTGTAATTACAGTTTGAAGTACTTGAAAATGTTTGAAAATAAACCAATGTGACTTAGGTAAATCTGCTTGGAAATTATACCATGTCTTGATATTTTATTAAAATATCAAAATATTTCAATTATGAACAAAAACTTAGAAACAAAGCTGTTGTGAAATGCAAAGGTGTTTTTGTTCTGTTGCAGGGGATTATTTATTTCGATCTCAGACAGAGGTCATGTTAGATCAATTGTGGATAACTGGCCAGAAAATCATGTTAAGGTACTAATAGTACAACCCTCCTTTTCACAATGTTTTCTCTTTTCTTGTAAATTACCTCTAAATCTCCAAGAACAGTTTTTCATTGTTGCTCTGATTTATTTTGCACTTATATACATGCAGATTTAGTGCTTTGCAGCTGAAGCGATGATAATAGTAGTAGTTATAAAATGGGCTACCGGTATAGAGTTTGACTCTGAGAAAGAAATTGGAGCTAGAATACAAGGTGAGCCCTGTCGGTGTCGGCACCACTGGTGTCTCCTGCCCTCTCAATATCCTTTCCTATTTCACTAATATTATTCTAGGTAAAGAAAATACTTTAAAATACCATAAAAACTTTTGTTTATAATGGTGTTAGAAAAGTTTGATTATGCCTTTTTTTCTTTTAAATCTAAGATTGAGAACCTTAGCAAATATGAAAGTGTTAAATATAGCAAATATAAGCCCTGGCCTATTTAGTTATCTTTCATAAAGTGAAATGTAATAACTTATTTCAAGATCTTTGGGTAGGCTTTTGTAAATTTTATTATAGGCAACAATCTTACCTGCCTTTATACTCCTTTCCAAAATAAACATTGATGAATGATCATTGGTTTGAATAATCTAGCAAAAATTTGGTCAAATAATTAAACTGACAGTATCATCTTAAGACCTTCCTTATAAGTAGGTATTTTTTTTTGCTCTAGACATTTTCTTTTCCACAGTTGCTAAGGTTTTTCTTGTTTGGCCTAGGTTATTGTGTTGGAGTACCATACTGTTTATTTCTAAACTCTTATTTTTCTCTCATGGTAATCTCTCCATCTTGTTCATCTCTGCCATATTTAATCTTTCTGAAGATATTTAAGTTGGTCCTTTAGTCAGAAGAATTATATTCCTAAACCGAAGTCAGAGGGAAATCAAATCTAGTTAATGTCTCATAATAGTCAGAAATCCTAGAATTTTAAGTATGGTTGATTGGTTTATATTGGAAATTAGCCAAGAAACAATTTTGTTTTTAAGAGCAAAGAATAAATATATGTGAAGTGACTCAATCTTTTTAAAAATGCTTTTCTTTAGTGCCCCATTTTTGACAGCTTTTAATTTGCATTTTTTTGTGTTTAAGGCTGTTGTAGTGACTGATGGAGAGAGAATTCTGGGTCTTGGAGATCTGGGTGTCTATGGAATGGGAATTCCAGTAGGAAAACTTTGTTTGTATACAGCTTGTGCAGGAATACAGCCTGATAGATGCCTGCCAGTGTGTATTGATGTGGGAACTGATAATATCGTGAGTAACATCATTTTCCCCCTTTATCTTCCTCCTGTATTTTTAAAAATTTGTATAGTATCCCTCTTTTAAAAATGATAATTTAAGAAGGGAAAGTTTTATGATTAAATGTTAGTTTTTTTCTTAAACTCCACTTTTAATATTTATATAAATAATAGTAAATTAAGTCTATTAAAAGTTTCTTGGGCTGGGCATGGTGGCTTCTGCCTGTAATCCCAGCACTTTGGAAGGCCGAGGCAGGCAGATCACTGGAGGTCAGGAGTTTGAGACCAGCCCGGCCAACATGGTGAAACCCTGTCTCTACTAAAAATACAAAAAAAATTAGCCGTACGTGGTGGCACAAGCCTGTAATCCCAGCTACTTGGGAGGCTGAGGCAAGAGAATCGCTTGAGCCCAAAAGACGGAGACTTCAGTGAGCCAGGATCATGCCATTGCACTCTAGCCTGGGTGACAAGAGTAAGACTGTCTCAAAAAAGAAAAAGTAAAGTTTCTTGAAGGGCAATACATTTAAAAAATTGTATTAGTAATTTTTTATTTTGCAATTTTTATTGTATGTGTTTAAACTGATTATATAATATAAATTATTTTATTTTTACATTTGTTTTGTTTTGTAGGCACTCTTAAAAGACCCATTTTATATGGGCTTGTACCAGAAACGAGATCGCACACAACAGTATGATGACCTGATTGATGAGTTTATGAAAGCTATTACTGACAGGTATTTTTTTAAAAGTTTGAGTATATGAAAGCACTTTTAATGGGGGTGAGGGCGGGGTAAAAACTAAAGTTTTGTTTTGTTTTCTTTTATTTCTTGTGAAGATAAGCAGGAGGCGATTAAATTTTTGAGAACTTTGTTCTACTGGCTGTCTCTGCCTGATTAGATGTGCTGGTTTGAGGTGGTACCCATGGTCTGCCTTGCTTTCTTGAGTTACCTGACATTTTGAGGGAAGTCTGCCCTCACTGCTCCTGTCAAACCTTTACTGCTCAGTACCTTTTTCAGCCTTGACCTTCCGGCTCACGTCTACCATTCCACTGAAGCTGTTGTGCAGCTTTCATATTTTAAGTTCTCTGACCATTTGGTCCTCCCACCTCTCTACCTCTTTGCAACATTGACTAAGGTTTTCCCACTTCTATGTCCTTGAAACTCTTCTCTTGATTGCTAAACAGCTTCCTCCTAACTTGGTCTTCCTCCCACCTTTCTCTCTCTCTTTTTTTTTTTTTTTGGTCATCTTCACAGGTTCGTGCTGTCTTACTAAATGTGGATAACCACCTAGTCCTCTTCTCTTTCAGCCATGTCAACTATGACCTTTATGCATGTTACTACTAAACCCATAAAAACCCATCTGTAGTCCCCCTGCTCTTCTGAGGCCTGCATTTCTAATAATCAGAATATTCCATCTGGATATTCTGTTGTGTGTGCATATTCATATCCCACACTGAACTCCTTTCCTTTCCAAACAACCTATCTTCTGTATTCCCACCTTCTATTATTGGCAGTAACATTCATCCTATTGCCAAAACTTTGATCTTGGCGTTATGTTTGACCCTTCTGCCTTCTCCATCAGTCTCCCGTGCAGTCAGATATTCCTCAAATTCAGTGGGTACTACCACTTAAATGTCTCTTGTTTTCCATTACCACAATCTTGCTCTCTCCTTATGTCTCTTCTGAAGTTTTCTAATTCTTCCTCTAGTTTCTCTCCTCTCCAGTTCATCTCCACCTTAATACCAGATTAATTGTTTTGAAACATGTACTTCATTATGTCATTCTTTTGCTTGAAATCTCTCATTGGTTTCCTATTGCCATAGGATAAAGTCAAACTCTTTACCTTAATGATCTAACCCTGGTCTACCTTTAAAATTGCTGGCATGTAGAAGGTATTTAAAAATTAATTCCTTTTCAGAGTCGAAGTCAACAAGTCTAAAACGGAACTTTATATCTTCCCAGAAATTGTCATCTCTCCTTCTTCCTCTCATTTTCCTACCTTGGACAACCAAATAGTATCTTCTTAGTTATCCCAGTTACCTTGACATTGTAACAGCTTCTTCCTCATTTCCCAGTTGTTCCTTATCAATTTCTATTCATCCTAATAGCTCATAATTACTTCTTTTGCTTCCTGCACCTTCTGCTTCAGATCTCTTGTCTTCGTATCACAGTAGCCTCCTAGTTGCTTCTGCCACTCACATCTCTCCCCACACCAATATGTGCTGCGTATCACTGGCAGGTTTATCCTTCCTAAAGGGAGTCAGTCATATGTGAATTTTTTCCTTTCTTGGCAGCCTTCACTGTTTCTACATGGGATGCAGAAGAAAGTCCCTCTTCTCTAATTTAGCATTAGAGATTCTCCCTTATTTGGTCCCAACCTGCATTAACCAACTTCTCCCTTATCTCTTAATGTAAACCATGAAATGTATAGCCAGACTGTTGAAAATTCAGGGTCACCCTAATAATAGCCTGCTTTTCTTTCTACCTCTTTACTTTTTGTTCTTTCAGGGCCTACCTCCTTTTCAAGCCTTCCCTTACTACTTTAGCTCACCTAAACGATTGACATCTTTTGCTGAATGTCAGTGAACTCAAATAGCAATTATTTTTCAGTTACTTATTTAATATATACTTTCTTGTGTTGCTGTTTAACTATTAATGTAATGAGAATATGCATATCAAATATATATTTTTTGAGTTCAGAGTCAAAGGAAGTATCTCCTGGACACTTGAAAATAGTTTACATAGATTGATATCCCATGGGTTTATCATGGTGCCACGTTCTTTTTAAACGCCTCATACTTTTTTTATTGAATAATTTCTACATTTTGGATCTAGTCTTTTACAGGCTCTGAAATTTTTCAGATGGCCTTAATTGAACTAACAATACATTATTTTTGAATGCTATTATAGGGAATATTAGGTGGAAAGCTGTTTAATAGTATTATTTTCATCACAACTATTGTGGGTTTTGCTGTTTTTAGATATGGCCGGAACACACTCATTCAGTTCGAAGACTTTGGAAATCATAATGCGTTCAGATTTTTGAGAAAGTACCGAGAAAAATATTGTACTTTCAATGATGACATTCAAGGTAAAGCAAAAAAAAAAAAAAAAAACTTTAGGGTTTGGATTCCTACTTTTTAAACATTTTTAATGTGCCCATTTTTTATTTGTAAAACTCTTTGTTTTTCTTATAGGGACAGCTGCAGTAGCTCTAGCAGGTCTTCTTGCAGCACAAAAAGTTATTAGTAAACCAATCTCCGAACACAAAATCTTATTCCTTGGAGCAGGAGAGGTAAGTTTTGTAGGCTTTTTAAAACTTAAGCCCATCCTCTCTTCTAGAATTGGAAAATGGGCAGAATATTGATATTTATAAAAGAGCATAATGACCCTGTAATTTTGTTGAGATAGAGGGTATGAAATCAAGACTTCTTCTATAAAACAGGTAATTTAAAATATGTTTAGAGAGAATATCACAAAGAATTTTTGTTTGATTCGTAAGGGAAAAATAAACCAAATAGTTTTTATTATAGCATATAATTTTGCTATTTAGAAGGCTATTGGGGGATGTATGTTTTGACTAGTACACAGTTTGGTACTTTTTGTAATGTTGGTTTTCATCAAATATGTTGTGATTCTTTAGCATATAGCATATATATAAGATTATATAAGATTATATGCTATATAATCTTCATATATAAAGTAATTCAAGCATTGCATCATACTCTAGTATATATTGAAATTTATGTTTTGTTGAACAGGCTGCTCTTGGAATTGCAAATCTTATAGTTATGTCTATGGTAGAAAATGGCCTGTCAGAACAAGAGGCACAAAAGAAAATCTGGATGTTTGACAAGTATGGTTTATTAGTTAAGGTAAGGTATTTAAAATTTGGAGAAGCAAAAGAGTGTATTATATTTTTAGTTGGATTTTAAAAATATTATTCCTTAAAATCTTGTTTCTCATTGGAGTCTCCAAATTATACCAATTGGGACCTTCCGTTCTCTTTTTAACAAATGTCCCCAGTCTTGTTGTCTTTTACAAAGACTCCTGCTTCATATTTAATTAATCTGTATGTTGGCATCAGACTTACTCTTTCTTGCTTTGTTCTCTTGCTCTTAAGAGATCAAATGGCCACTGTACAAGTATGATTGTGTTTGACACTCTTAAAACTAGGTTTTTAATAGGAACTGAGAATTTCCTGATTAAATTACAGTATTGCAGAACTTTTGATATTTGAGCAGAATTTTTTTTTTTTTTAATTTTCTTAATTTTTTTGTGGGGGGGAAGGGGGATGAAGTCTCTCTCTGTCACCCAGGCTGGAGTGCAGTGGTGCTATCTCACCTCACTGCAACTTCTGCCTCCTAGGTTCAAGTGATTCTCCTGCCTGAGCCTCCTGAGGCCACTGTGCCTAGCCATGAGCAGAAATTCTTAACCCTTTGGAGATGATAAGCCCCTGAAGCCATCTAATAAAAATCTATGGACCCTTTCCCCAGGAAAAAAGCATGTGCTCCTGAAACCAATTTATGGATAATAAAGAGCTTATCTCCCAGATTAACTTAGTACCTTTGGGCCTGACTATCTTTGTTGGCATTGATTACCATTTTCACTAGCTTAAGAATGTCATATATCTTCTGCTGTGTAACACATTGAAATATAAGTAAACTGTTTCATAGTTAAACCAATCCAGTACACAATGGTATTATATTTTTGTATGTACACATTAAAATATAATGGTATAGCTGTTGCTTGGCATTTATGTCTGTGGAGCAAGCTATCTAAATGTACTTTACTCCAGTTCTAAAATCTTTTCTTCTTAATTAGAACCAGTATTCTATTAGTACAAAAAATAAAATGAAAAATTGACATATGTGAATGAAAAATCTTGAGTGCTTAAACTACATGTAATTTAAAATGTAATAGTAGTTATATACCAGACATTGTTATAAGACTTTACATGTATTATCTCCTTTAATCATCTCAAAAACCCCTATGAAGTTTTACAAATTAAGAAACAGTTTAAAAGGTCAAGGGAGTTATCCAGAGTCATCAGCTTATAAGTGACGGAGGCAGGACTCGAAACCAAGTATCCTGACTGTGAAGTCTGTGCTCTGAATAATTAAACTGTGCTGCCTCCCAAAGAGGCTGTAACTACCATATTTAACTACCATATTTACTAGTATGTAAGGGACAAGGATAAAACATCACATATTTAGAAGGCTATTGGGGGATGTATGTTTTGACTAGTACACAGTTTAGTTTGGTACTTTTTGTAATGTTGGTTTTCATCAAATATGTTGTGATTCTTTAGCATATTGGTAGGTCAGGTCTAACACGGTATTGGTAGCTACAATGTGTTTACTTAGCACAAAGTGAGAACCCTGTCCATCTCCATGTTCATTATCAGATTATATATTTCTTTTCCAGTGTGCAGGTAGCTTGGCCTATGGGCATTAGGCTTCCAGTGTCTCCTGGTGACCCTAAACACTGCCCTTCATTTTGAAACTTTGAAAACAGTGACTTCTTATGTCACTGTTTGCTCAGCCTGGTTTTCTGAGCTGACTGATGATAGTGTGTTGCTTTTCTAGCCCCTGCAGGTTCTTATCTGGGGTTATCTTGGAGTTCTGATGGAAACACACTTTTTCAGGAGAAGTCTTCTTTTTTACCAAAATAAGAATATGAACTTCTCAGGTGGTTTTTGCATTGAGTATGTTTTTGTCTGCCTCAGATCTTTGAGAAACTCTTCATTGTTCTAGTCTGTCAGTGGTATCTCTTCTGGCTTTGTGGCACTACTAAGAATTTAACGTTTATGGTTTTTGACCTGGGACTTGGAAAAGAAAACATGTCTCTTCATTCAGCCATCTTTAACCAGAATTCCCTGTTCCTCTTGTTTCTGAACTCTTGGTAGTACAAGTCCATGGTGGCTGTCTGCAATTCTGAAATCCTAAAGGCTTTGAAATTCCAAAATTTTTTCCGAAATTTATTTTGGTGACCAATCTGATTGCCCTGAACTTACCTAGTAGCAAAACCTGACTCAAACTACAAAGAAGCTCTTGGTAATCTTAACCTTTTGTACTTGATGTGACTATTCGTAAGTTTGTTCAGTTGTGGAGTATCTGTTGGGAGGGAGAATATGTAATATTTGATATATGCCATATTGTATTTCTAAAATATGAAAAATTCTCAGCCAGGAGTGGTGGCTCATGCCTGTGGTGGCTCAGCTTCCCACTTTGGGAAGCTGAGGTGGACGGATAGCTTGAGCCCAGGAGTTTGACACCAGCCTGGGCAACATGGCAAAACCCCATCTCTACAAAAAAAATTAGCCAGGCATGGTGGTGTGCGCCTATAGTTCCTAAACTATAAGTAGTTTAGTGTACCTAAACGACTCTGGAGGTTGAGGTGGGAGGATCACCTGAGCCCAGGGAGGTAGAAGCTGCTACTGCACTCAAGTCTGGATGACAGAGTGGTACCCCATCTCAAACCAACCAAATTAAATTAAATATGAAAAATTCCTAATTCCAAAACTCATCTACCTCAGATAAAGGATTGTAGGCTTTTGTGCCATAGTGGACTTAGGAAGACCTCATAGAGTAAATGCATTTTTTAGAGGAACTAGAAAGTTTCTAGGAATAATGGGAGATTGGATTTTTGTTTTATATTTGAGTTTATGGACATGATGAAGATAGAATTGGAAGATACAGGTTGAAGAGGAAAGTAAATGAAAATGAAAAGACATTTCTATTGTGGAAACAATGTGTAACTCATAATGATGTCTTTTTATTTCATCCTTAACATGCGTTGACTAAAAAAATACTGTATTTTATCTCAAAATTTAGGGGCGGAAAGCAAAAATAGATAGTTATCAGGAACCATTTACTCACCCAGTCCCAGAGAGCATACCTGATACTTTTGAAGATGCAGTGAATATACTGAAGCCTTCAACTATAATCGGTAGGTAAAGTTATTCTGATAAATAATTTTACTTCCTAACTGTATGTTGCCAGTCATAATTACCATGTAGGATTACTAAAAATGAGTTGGCAGTTTTATGTTTTACCTAGATTTCAGCTTGTACAATGTTTTTCTGTGATAACTTTTTGGTTACCATGCATGAAATTCAGTTACCAGATGTTGCTTTATACTTTTAGGTCCTAGACACTGTGCAGTCGATCATGCTTTGCTTTTAGAGTTGGTATGACTATTGGACTCAAAACATGAAAAAGACCAAAGCCATTTGCAGATTTTACCAGGGAAATTCTGTGCAGACTCAAAGTTTTCTTGGGCAACAAAGCTGAAAACTTTGAGTGTGACATTGCATAGCTGCCATCAGACTATGCCATCATGGCATTACCTTCTCAGCAGAAAATGTAAAAATGTTTAAAAGAGGAGCTATTTAATTTTCTATATAGCTGTAAGTTGTTTTGTTTTCTTTTTTCTTTTTTTTTTTTTTTTTCGAGATGGAGTCTCGCTCTGTCGCTCAGGCTGGAGTTGGCTCACTGTAACCTCCGCCTCCCAGGTTAAAGTGATTCTCTTGCCCCAGCCTCACAAGTAGCTGGGATTACAGGTGCCTGCCACCACGCCCGGCTAATTTTTGTAATTTTAGTAGAGATGGGGTTTCACCATGTTGACCAGGCTGGTCTCGAACTCCTGACCTCAGGTGATCCACCTGCCTCGGTGGGTGAGACTCCATCACAAAAAATGAATAAATAAAAATAAACAACTCCCCATTTTCCCCACCCCCCCACCCCCTAACAGCCACCATTCTACTTTTCGTCTCTATGAATTTAACTACCTCATATAAATGGAATAACATGGTATTTTTCTCTTTGTGACTGGCTTATTTTATTTAGCATAATGTCAAGTTTCATCCATGTGGTAGGTAGCAAGTTTTATCTTCCCAATTAGAGTGATGAAGATAGTCGTATACTCTTTTTAAAAATTGGCTGGGCATGGTGCCTCACATAATTCCAGCACTTTGGGAGGCCGAGGCAGGCAGATCACCTGAGGTCAGGAGTTTGAGACTAGCCTGGCCAACGTGGCGAAACCTCGTCTCTGCTGAAAATACAAAAATTAGCCAGGTGTAGTGGCACACACCTTTAATCCCAGCTACCTGGGAAGGTGAGGCATGAGAATCACTTGAACCCAGGAGGGGGAGGTTGCAGTGAGCTGAGATTGTGCCACTACACTCCAGTCTGGGTGACAGAGCGAGACTCTGTCTCAAAAAACAAAAAGTTAAAAGAATAAAATTTCCCATGATTTACTATGTGTATAGTAGACAATAAATATTTAAGTGAGAACTTTCAGCATCTTGTTTTTTCTTTTCAGATTTGAGATTGCGTTCTCATAGATTTTGCATTGCTGAGATAGTGCTGTCTTTGTGATATTACCTGTGTTTTTGTTATTGCAGGCCTATTGTAGAAATGCTATTGATAAGCATTGCTTTTATACCTGTAATGAAGTTGCTGTTTTTCCCTCTTACTACAGGAGTTGCAGGTGCTGGCCGTCTTTTCACTCCTGATGTAATCAGAGCCATGGCCTCTATCAATGAAAGGCCTGTAATATTTGCATTAAGTAATCCTACAGCACAGGCAGAGTGCACGGCTGAAGAAGCATATACACTTACAGAGGTATTACTAATTACATGAATTGATATGTGTATTATTTTCCCTCCACTAGCTTATTAATTATACATTCTTACACACTTGTTCTAGTGGTTTCCCTAGAGATTACAGCATGCATCTATGGGTGATCAAAGTCTGATATAAATCATTGCTTATGCCAATTATGGGAAACAGGTACTTTATAACTCCATTGAAATGCCCTCACACTGTTTGCATTATTCTTGCAAATTTTAATTTTCTATGTATTTTAAACCCAAAATACATGATTGTTATATTTTACAAAAATTATTCAGATTTACCTACATTTTAATTTATCTATCACTATTCTTCCTGCAAGTCTGCTTCTACCTAGGATCATTTTCCTTCTACCAGAAGAATTCCTTTATTTAAGTGTAGATCTAATGAATTCTCTTGGTAATTTATTTTGCCTTCATTTTGAAGGATATTTTCACCGTGCATAGAAGTAAAAGTTGGTAAATACTTGAGCATTTTGAAGATATTTTACTGTTTTCTGACTTTTGTTTTGTTTTTGATGACATATCATTGTCTTAGGTTTTTAACAGTTTGACTACAGCAGACCTTTGGGTGGCTTTGTTTGCATTTATTCCACATGGGGATTATACTGCTCCTGAATCTGTGGCTTGATGTCTGTTTTTGGTTTTTGTTTTTTCTGTTTTGAAAAAATACCAGCCAGTATCTCTGCTTTGGCCACATTCTCTTTCTCCTCTTATGGGACTCTAATTATATGGTCAGAGATATATCTCACATATCTTTTACACTGTTTTCTATGTATATTATCCCTCTTGCTCTCTGTGTTTCAATCTGGTGATTTCCTTTGGCCCTATCTTCCAGTTTGCAGATTCTGTGTTCAGCTGTGCTCATCTGTTGTTAGGTTCTTAATTTTAGTTACTGTGTTTTTTTCATTTGTAGAATTTCTGTTTTATCTGTATAGTAATTTATTAATTTAGTAACAGACTTAAAATCATGTACTGTAGAAACAATCAATTTCTAAATATTGCCTTTTTGTACTTACATTTCATGAAACATTTCTTTTTACTCTCTTCAAATGCGTCATCACCATCAGTGTTTGTCTTTTCTAGGGCTGTTTTTTTTGAGTCATCTGGCAGCTGTGGAGAACAAATTTTTATTTATATCCAAACTGTTTAAGATAGACTACTTTTAGATCTTTGACACTAGCATGGGTTATAGCCCAATTAGAAATATCAGCCTATAAATCACTTGACATTTGGGTTTTTTTCCTACCAGTCTGTAAGGATGTAGTTGTAATCTCCACAATTACTTTCTATATTGTTCTGGTAAGTGATCTAACTGGCTCTAGGAAGTGATTTTTAAAGGCTTGTTTACAATGATGTCTAGCAACTGTAATTGCTAGATTACATCCTTGAGATTAAGTAATAAATCTGTGATACATTTTTTAATCTTCACTCCTTTAAAAAAAGATTTTTATAATAGAAAAATATTATAGTATATGTCTTAAAAGCTAAGGATTCTTTTAAAAATATAACCACAGGGCCGGGCATGGTGGCTCACGCCTGTAATCCCAGCACTTTGGGAGGCCGAAGCAGGCGGATCACGAGGTCAGGAGATTGAGACCATCCTGGCTAACACGGTGAAACCCCGTCTCTACTAAAAATACAAAAAAAATTAGCCGGACATAGTGGTGGGTGCCTGTAGTCCTAGCTACTCGGGAGGCTGAGGCAGATGAATGGCATGAACCCAGGAGGCGGAGCGTGCAGTGACCTGAGATCGTGCCACTGCACTCCAGCCTGGGCGACAGAGCAAGACTCTATCTCTAAAAAATATATATATATACACACACACATATATATGTGTATGTATATATGTGTGTGTGTATATATATGTATAACCACAGTACTGTTATACCTCATAATTTGAACAATAATTATATCTTGTCATTTAATTTTTTTTTTTTTTTTTTGAGACAGGGTCTCCCTTGGTCGCCCAGGCTGGAGTGTAGTGGCACAGTCATAGCTCACTGCAGACTCCAATTCCTGGC